GAAATGAGGTGGCTTCTGCAGGCTCCCTTCTGTGACGGCCTGTGCGTGGGGGGCGGGGACAGGAGGAGGCTCGGTGGGGCCTTCGGAGGTTCCAGGGAACCCGGAGGCTGTGAATCCCAAGCCTCCTCTCCGGATGCGTCTTTCTTGTTCATACGGGGAAGGACACCGAAGCTCAGAAAGTTGTGACTCCATCCTGATTTTCCTCTTTGTACTTTGCACTGAAACCGTCAAGAGATTTTCACTTCCAGTTTCAAACTTTGTGCCATTCCTGGTAGGTTTTGGTTTTTCTCTGTATTTATCATGATGCCTGGGGACTCTCCTTACTAGATAAGCTGTGATGCTATTTGAAGTTAATCTCAAAAGGCATAATTTTGACCGTATTTTCTTGACTTGTTTGAAACTCATCGGTAGTCCTGCCGCCATCCAATCTTTCCACGTTGCCAGACCCCCTCCAGCTAATGACATTTCCCCTTATAACCATTGTTTTCATTTCTAACTCGGTAACATTTAGAAATCTAGCACTCATTATTATTACAACTCAGACTGTTGGGACATTTAAAGTTGTCTCACAGGCTGCTTACACCATCCTCGTTTTTTTTTTAATTCTTTTTTTTTCGTGTTGTTCTGATTGGTTGTTTCCTGCTCCCTTATGTTCCAAATCATTGATTTGATTCTCAGCTTCATCCATTCCACTGTTATTTCCCTGTAAATTGTTCTTTATTTCAATTAGTGTGCCCTTTGTTTCCGACTGGATCTTTTTTATGCTGCTGAGGTCCTCACTAAGTTCCTCGAGCATCTTATACCCATTGTTTTGAGCTCTGCATCTGATAGATTGCTTATCTCCATTTCATTTAGTTCTTTTTCTGGAGTTTCGATCTGTCCTTTCATTTGGGCCATGTTTCTTTGCCTCCTCATTTTGGCAGCCTCCCTGTGTTTGTTTTCTGTGAATTAGGTAGAGCTTCTCTGACTCTGTGTCTTGGTAGTGTGGCCTGAAGTAGTAGGTGTCCTGTAGGGTCCAGTGGCACAGCCTTCCCTATCACCAAGCTTGGTACTCAGGCTGCACCCTTTGTGTGGACTAAGTACACCTCCCTCTTGTAGTTGAGCCTTGGTTGCTGTTGGCAGGTCAATCAATGGGTGGGATTTACCCAGGCCAGCCAGCTGCAAAGATTGGTTGCGACCACTGACCACCAATCTCCAACCTCCGTTGGAGGATCAGCTGTGCAGTGGCAGGGTGGTGGTGCTCTGACATGGTCTGTAGCTGACCACTGGGTATGCAGGCCCTACGGTTTCCAGGGTGGTGGAGGCCAAGGTCAGCCTCCAACTGTGTTTTGCCCAGGGCCACCCTGCCTGAGCTATAAAGCAATCTGAGATGGCTGCTACTTGTGTTGGGCTTGAGGTGAAGCCAAACTGTTTATCTAGGCTGGCTGCTGCTAATACCAGGCGTGGGGCCACTTAGCAAGAGGTGTGGGGCCACTTAGCAAGAGGTATGGGGCTGGGGTTCACTGAGGCCGGCTGTTGCTTGCTTGATAGGATGTAGGAAGCTGTAAACATGAGCCAAGATCAGCCATTCATATGAAAAAGCCACTGTTGGAAGCTGTAAGTTAGTTGGGACAGAGACTCAGGGGATCTTCAGGGAGGGACAAACAGTGTTAGCCAGGTTGAGGGAGTCTCAGACATGGCAGCCACCTGCCAGCTCTGTGGCTAGGTGGGGGGAGGGTTCAGAAAGGGGACAGTGGCCTCTGCCCACCCTTCTGTCTGGAAGAAAGCTGTCTCCCGGCTCTCACCTTGATGCCAGACACTTTGGTTCCTCTCTGTATGCCTCTGGTACCTTTTAAGCCGCTATCCAGTGCTGAGGCTCAGAGTGAGTGAGTCTGAGTAAGTCTGTGTTGGTTCTTTAAGAGGAACTGTTTGGGAATCCAGCAGCTTCTTCCACCAACTCAATCCCTGCTGATTTTTGCAGCCAGAAGTTATGGGCACTTATCTTGTTGGCACTGGAACCCTGGGCTGGTGGCGGGGAACCTGGTGTGGGGCTGGGACTCCTCACTCCCGAGATATCCCTCCCAAACTTTTATCCATCACACGCAGGTATGGGACCAGAGCGTTCCATGTCTGCGCCCCTCCCACCAGTCTGGATGGATGTGGTTTCTTTTAATTCCGTCGTGTCAGACTCTCATTCAACTCGATTACTGATGGTTCTGAGTGATGCTTGTTCTACATTTTAGTTGTAATTTTGATGTGGTTGTGTGAGGAGGCGGGCCGTGCTTACCTACACCACTATCTCGACTGGAAGTCCTGCAGTTGTCTTTTTCTGGTTGTGTTCCAACAGTCACACTACCCTACACTAAGTTCTTACAGGACATTTTAATTGAACTAATTCAGGTCTTCAGCAACGTCACCTGTGACCTATTAGGTGTTCCCCTGGATTTTGTTCAGCATAGCCTCTTTAGTCAACCACTCATTCAAAACATATTTTAGTACTTCCCAGATGCATGTCACTGTGCGAGGCAAGGGATAAGGCACAAATCAGACACACACTGTCCTTGTCCTCATGAAGGGCAAGTCAGACACCAATGAGTTACAGAGCTGAATAATTCATGACAACTACAGTTAGGGGCTAAAAGCTGAAACACAGTGGGCTGTGAGACCACAGAATTGGGACTCAAACTTTGCATCAAGGAGGGCTCCTATGGGGAAGTAACATTTAAGCTTACACTTGAGGTGCAAGTAGGAGTTAACTAGAGAAGAGTGGGATGGACGGCACACAGTGGGACCACAACAAGACTGTGCGTAGAAAAGAGAACATGGTGACAGCAAACGACCGAGCAAGACGGCCAGGTGCCCAGCATGCAGTGACGGGGAAGAGGCCCCGGCGAGGGTGGCAGAGGCCAGGCCCGCCCATCACAGAGGATGTCATGGGTCTTCATTCCCACAGTAAAGAGAAGCACTGAAAGGTTTAAACGAGGATGTGGCATGGTTGGATCTGTGTTTAAATAGATGACTATGGCTTTAGCATGGAGAACGGAGTAAAATGGAACGAGAATGGTGTATCGGTCGGCTATTGCTGCCTTGTGAGCCACCTCAAAACTCAGTGGCTTAAACAAGCACGTTTTTGCTCGGGCATCTGTGATTGCCTAACGTGGGTCCACTCCAGGCTGCGGGGCGACTCTGACTGTGCCGGCTTGGGCTGGGATCAGCAGGGTTTAGCTAAAGATTGGGAGTAAGTCCGCTCCACATGTCCCCTCACTGTCTTTGGACGGGATGCTCCAGGCCATCTTCCTCTCACCACAAGTGTCAGAAGAGCAAGAGCACCAAGCCAAACCGTGGCAGCACAAGGAAGGCTCTCCAAGAGTCACGTCCATGAGCAGTCCCTTCACCAAATTGTTTCATGGCCGGGCCCAAAACAGTGGGACAATATAGCGTATCCCACCCCAAGGGCGGGAGGTGTGAATAGATATTTGTTGATTCACACTCAAATGTATCAAAGCAGCTAGGATCAAGGTGTTTTCCACTCAGATGGAAACAAAATCAAGGATGGAGTCTATTGCTTCCCTTGTCCCGAGCCACCTTGCTTTGGCTCCCGAACAAGAGCTTCAATTTCCCCAGAGCCTTTAACACGGAGGAGATGTGAAACTAGTGTGAGGCTGCCGGCCTGGAATCCCATGGCTCACTCACAGAGCGGTGTGGGGTCCTCGGCCTGGAGTGTTCACTGGGCCAAGCCTGTCTGTGGGCACAGTACATGGCTGATTCGGAGGCGATCAGAAGCGCATGCTGTGACCATTCATTGCTAGTTTTAAGAAACAAATCGATCCCTTTTTGCACTTATTTCTGAGTAACCACGAGAGGAGTATCCTCCTGTCAGGGCCGGCTCCAGCTCACCTGGAAATGCTCCCTCTTCCGCCCGTCTCCAGGGCTACCTGCTCATTCTCAGTGTTTCCCAAATGGAAAGGCATAGTAGGTGCTCAGTTTATTTGGATGGGTCTGGCACACTGCTGTGTACTCTCACCAGTTTTTAGACATAATTTGTCATTATTTTTTTAATCATGTATTATTTGAGGGGGAAAATCTGTTTGTTTCCCCCAAAGTCCTAACTTCTTATCTCCTGTTCTTGGGCTCAGCTTTAACTGGGGCTCATCCTTCTCTTCCCTTCATGCTGTCAGGCGGGCGTTCACAGCCACAACCCTGGGTCTTTAATAAGAAGCTAGTCTTGCTGTGGACATCAATACCTTTGGTGGGGTGGGAGGCTGAGGGGAGAGTTCATGTAATTTGGGAGCAGCCCTGTGGGGAGTAAAAGTGAACTATTTTTAGCTGAATTCAAGTGGAGGCAATTCACTTAAAGAATCCAAAGGCTTCGGCAATATCTCAGATTGACTTTAATGAGTACTTAGACTGAAATAGCTACAGGCTCCGGGAGGTAGACTAACCTATTGAGGACCTCTCCTGGAAGATAAAAAGACACTTTTATAGCTGGCATCATGGAGCGCCGGCCTCTTTTCATGCCCTTAGCTCAGCGCTCAGCATGGCAGCATTTCTGCTCATCTTACTAATTGGTGGCTAAATACAGACAGGGAAAAAAAAAAGCGGACACTTATTTCACCAATAAGTAGAAAAGCTTTCTTAGGAAACAGCAGAAGACAGCTCACAGGGAACAGGAGGGAGTCCTTAAGAAAGCATATTGGTGACGCTTGTGACTTTTCAAAGCGACTTGGAGCAGGCAATTTCCACTTAATTTCTTTTCAGAGTGGGTAAGAGACATGCTAAAGGGGCTCAAGGGTCTGGAAAGATAAAGGAGCCGGTTTTAATTCGCCTTCCATTTCTGCGGCTTAGGACGCCCTGCCGAGGCAGACTACAGCATGAACGTGCAGGTTCCCACACACCCCGTGACATTCTTTCATGAGAAGATCTTGGGCTGTAATACCTTTTCAGCACAACTTACATCATTAGGAGAAAAAACGTAACAGAAAAAGTAATTATCTCGCCTCCAAGAAAGGAAAAGACGGGAGTAACAGAATTGTGGGCTTTCTCCCATATTATTTTTATTGTATGATCTTTATTTCCCATTATTTCGAATATCTAGAATATGAACACAAGCTTTCTTTAGTCAAACCAAACATAGTGCCTCCATTTTACTTAGTATTTTTAAGTGTATATTTTAAGATTTTAAATAATTTTAATACAGTGGTAGGAGTCAGCTTTTATACAGTTCCTTACACTGTAGCTTCAAAGTAATTTATACAGTTAATACCATTCCTTACAACACACCTTCATGGACACTTGGGAGGGGACTTGACAAAATGGGGTAGAATTAAGAGTGGCACAGAAAGAGCTGAAAGTGGAAGGATGGGGTTGGGGACACGCTGTCACAAAATCTGGCACTTGCCACTTCGACGTGAAGGCATTGGAGAAACGCAGGCGCAAGGACTTTCGACACTCCGACCAGGTCGCAGATCCCTCAGGAGTGCAGCCTCCCCAACACCTGCAGGAAAGGAGCAGCCGCACCCCTGAAGACGGGGGGCACCGAGAAACCCGGACAAACAGATGTTGCTCAGTTCTCCTCGGTTTACATTGGCTTGCCTTTGTCTTACGGCATCTTCCCATGACTTTCCACTCTCCGTTCAAGCTACCATACAAACACTCCAGTTTAACTGTTTCCCTGGGTCTTCATTTCGTCGTGTCATGTACCATTTATATGAAATAAATGTGTATGCTTTTCTCTTATTAATCTGTGCTTTGTTACAGGAACCTCAGCCAAGAACACAGGAGGGAGAGGAAAGATATTTTCCCTACCCCAAAGTAGTATTCCAACTTCCCATTTAATATTCCCCAAAACAACTTAATAACACAAATATTTTAATGAGATACACATAGTTCACAAGATCGGTTAAAAGATGAGATAAAATTATAGTTGAAAGAGATCACTTAGACCAAATTGTATAGATCAGGATTATCTCCAAGCATAATGTTCCTTATAATATATAGATATACATCCAAAATGTTTCCAAGAACCCAGCTAACTATGACAGAGTAACAGATATCTTTTTTTATTAAGTCTATTTAAAACACAATTTTATCTTTGTAAGATAAACCTCTGGTGATGCAGCTAAGTGTCGAAACTTCTATTAATTATATAAACACTTGAGAATCATAGGAAAAAAAAAAGGGATTCCATCCAATATCTGTTTTAGAAAGTTTAACAAAAAAGCCAAGTAATGTCCCCGGCCTGTATCAGCACTCGGTAAATGTCTGATGAAAGAATGGCATGATCAGAAGAGGTAGCAGACAGAAAGGCTCCCTGCTCCCACACTGTCATTACAATTTTTCCAAAACATGTTTTCTTTTCAAGAGATAACCCCCACCAGGGAAAAGCACATTTAGAGTTTTCACACCGAAAGGGCCTTGTGTACCCGATTTTGTCCAGTGCTCTGACTGTAACACAGTCACCCTGGCACAGCCAGCCCCCACTCCGGCACGAGTAGCACTGCGGGAGGTCATCAGCGCCTGGGGGCGTGATGGGCACCTGGTCCGGCCGGAGTCCCGCGAGAGGCACGCACAGGAGGGAGCGCGTGCTCACACCTCTCATCCCCCCTCCGAGCCCTCGGTTTCCTGTCTAAGACTGCGAAGTGGATTAGGTAGGTGTGCGTGAGCTCCTTTTTGTGGACTCTTCTCACAATATTTTCATGCAGAGGAAAAAACTACCCACACTTCTTTTTTGTGTGTGTGCTTGTTTTGTTTTGCAAGAGTTTTGCTTAAAGGCCGTGACAGAAACATGGTCCCTCACGGGCCACTTGGCCTTCCGGCGGGGTGGAAAGAAGCGCCGCCAGCCTGAAGCTCCGGGGCTGCGAGTCCACCTGTTTGCTTCAAATGTGCAGACGCCCCTCTCGTGAATGAATAGGAAACAAAATACTGAAATAAATGAGCATATGCTCAGCATATAAATCAAATCTAAGATAGTTTACCAAGACCTGGAATAAACTTGATGTGCAGAAAATCGGAGATGCTAACACAGTTATCTTTTTTTTTTTAATGAAGTAGTAGAAGCACCACATTTTCTAAGGTCATGATCAAATCAGGGTTAAGGCAATCAGTTATAATAATCTAATCCAGGCCAAATATCTGCTTTTGCCTAAATGACCGACCTCTTTGATTATCACTGAGGATAACTGTTTCATTTTTCCAGTAGGCTCGGCTCATGAGCATTGGAGGAGTAACTGCAGGCCTAAATGAACCAAGTTCACACACGAGTCAAAAAAACATCAATCTCCTCTTACAGGAAAGAACACCCCCATGTAATGCGACAATTGAGCAGTAACAACAAAAAAAGTACCCCACCTACTAAGACATTTTGGTACAAACAGACATAATTAAGATCATTTAAGCTCTTAATCCATGTATTGAAATTATGACTATGACACAGCATCAGAGGTTCTTGTCGGAAGGCCTCAGAAATTCGAGGTCACAGCTGCCGGAGGCGGGGGCAGAGGGTCCGTGGCTGTTGCATAACCTTACAAAGAACCCTTCCCAGCCTACCTTCCTCTCTTCTAACTCAAAATTGGTGGCTCTCCTCGACCTCCTTTATAGAAAATGCTTTCTTACTAGTTATTTTTAATTGTAGTCCTCTGTCTGAGGCTGTAGGGAATGTGCCTGTCTCAGAAGCATTAGGAAGCTTCCAACGGACGGACGCTAACCTCTCCACTCTCCCGGTCCCCTGCCTGCACAGGCAGGACTCTGTCGTGAACTCCTGAGAACACTGCTGACCCCTTGTGTCCGAGGCCCTTTCAGCACTGGAGTCTTTCCGCTTGGCTGTGAGGGTGAACAGGGAGAAGGGTTTCAAAGAGAGTGAGTTAGGATGCCAAAAGGCCATATTCTAGGGGAATATCTAGCAGGGCCACATTTTTAACCTGTGTTTTTGCGACTCAATGAAAATATTAAATGCTAGTTAACCCAGTTTCTAAATCTTTTAATTCTAGGGCCAGACAGACTGGAAGCAATTATAGCTCGTTCAATGGGTCTGTGGGAATGCTGACAGTTTTAATTTACATATTAATGCTGGAAAACATTTTCAGAGGCAAAGGAGCATTCTTCGGTCTAATAATGGATAGAATAAGGGGAAAAATGGACAGGAAAGTGGCTCAAAAGCTCTAGGCAAAATGGTCTGGGTTTATTTTTTTCTGTAATAATTTCAAACTATCCATTATTCACTGTAAGAAGATACCACGGCAACAGTGGGTCTGCAGTCTTTTCTTTTGCTGAAGATGGCTGTTCTTGGGCTGAGTGTCTTCAATGAAAAGCCCAGCAATCCCAGTTAACAATCCATCTGTCCAAACTCCAACTCCTTCCTGGGAACAACTCATTCTGTTTCTTGGTTTCTTCCTCTGCCGCCCACCTAGAATACTTATCCTACCACTCACAGAATAAAACAAACACTGAAGCAAGAATTGTTCTAGATCATTAGATTTCATTAAACAGCCCAGTTGGACACTTGCTCATTGGAACTTACTTCTGCTTCAACTCCAAGTCTTGGGGGAAAAAATTGCAAGAATTCTTTTCATTAAAATATTAGCTTGACCCAAGGATGTAAAAAGTTAGCTGCCTCAGCATTAGTTATTGCAGTCTGAGAGACCTCCCAAGAGGTCTAAAAAATTAGAAGATTAAATATAGCAAAATGTGAACAGGAAACACAGTTTGCAGGTCATTTACTAACTATAGCTGTATAGAATTTTCAAATTATTTTTCTGAATTAAATACCAAATTTACAAACAATATACATCATATGGCCCTTGAAAAAACTTTTAAATGGTGGATTAACTCCATTGCAAAATTTCTTTCTGTTCTAAGGAAGAGAGGGGAATGCAGAGTAATCCTATGTGGGGTCCTATTATCCCCACTGAACAGAAGAGAAAAATGAGGCTCAAAAAGATGAAGTAACCTATCAAAGGTCACGTTGCCACGATTGGCAGCGTCTTGGTAGACACTGCAAACCTGACCTCTTTTAAAGGAAGGTTAATTTAAATTGAGTACTAGTCATTACTTACTAAATGAATGCGTTAATGTGGTTAATGACAATATTCACTGATGTTGGTCTTACAGAAAGTTTAAGGAAAACTAAAATGAAGGACTCCAGATTCATCGAGGCCCCTTTCGAATACAAAATATTCCTAATTTTCCTCATCCTATTCCTGGAGGGGAAGGGGAAAGCTTGCTATGGCTTAACACAGTAACAACAACACAGCAATTCCATTCCTAGGTACATATCCTAAAAAACTGAAAACAGGTATTTAACCGAATACTTACACACAAATGTTTACGGCAGCACTATACACAATAGCCAAACAGTGGAAAAAACCAACTGTTCATCGAGGGGTAAGTGGGAAAACACAATACGGGACCCACGCCAGGGAGTGTTCTCACCCGGTAAAGGGAATGAAGCACTGACACGTGCTGCGGTACGGACGAGCCCGGGAAATACCAGGCTAACGGGAAGGCGGGCACAAAAGGCCACTCGCTGCACGGCTCTACTGACACGGAATGTCCGGCCTCGGCAGGTCCAGAGAGGAGGCGCGCCGGCGGTGGCTGCAGGGCTGGGAGGGAGCAGGGCGACTGCCCCACGGGAGGCGACCTTGCCGGTGCGGGGCCGGCGAGGCCGAGGCTGGGCGACCGGGCAGTGGCGGTGCCTGCACAACACCGCGGACAAAGCACTGCTGCCACGGAACGGCACGCTTTGAAGCGGTTCATTGCACGTTATGCGGATTTCACCTCGGTTACAGCAAAAATGCAGAATGATGATTGGCCGTAAAGCCCTAGATGAAGAGCAGGGAATTTGCTTTCTCTTGGTTTGTCACAATTTCAATGAGTTTTGGACCATCCTAAACCAATATATTAAAAAATTGCCCATTAGAATTTCCAAATAAGGCATTCATGTAGCTGAGTTCCCCAATTTGTACAGCTGAGAGAGCACCTGGTTGAGTTTACAGTATACATGAAGTTTTAAAAATGTCTTTAATTTGTATCAAGTGAAAAGAAAAAGCATACTGAGAAACACATGAAAGACTATGAAGCAGCCAGCGCCCAGGAAAGAGGCTAACATGTATGTGTTCGGGGAAATCTGCATATCTTAGCTTACAGAGAGATGTAAACACTCAGGAGAGAAACGTGCTTTTCCTCAGGGCTTATTTCGTGTTCCTCCACAAAACTGACTGGTAAACAGTAATTCAGCACCCAGTGGGTTTCAGCAAAGAGGTCACACACAGGGAGGGCCTCTAGCTGCCACTTCCAATTGCTTCCCTGGTGAAACAACACAGGAGGTTAAGTTACTTCAGGAGACTCCCCACAGGGCTCCCATTGTTCCGAGCCCGAACCCAGAGAGACAATGGGCCCCATTCATCAGCAGCAGAGCGGATCGGCCGGGGAATGGTCCCTCAGGGACAACTTTCTGTTGGGACACTGAAGTTTTTATAAACATGGACTTGCACAAATACGTGTTAATTACTGTTAAAGAACAGCACAGAATAAAAAAAATAAAATTCAATGGACACTAAACTGAGAATTTGAACGCCCAAGTCCTATTCCCAACTCTCTGATGTGACTTTAAGCAAGTCACTTGCTCCTTTTCAGCCTCAGTTTCCTGGTTTGTAAAATGAAAATGATTTCTAAGATCACTTAGGACTCTAAAATTCTATGAACACATATGAGATCTGTTAATGTTGCTACACTACTCACTCCAACAAATGGGGATACATTTTTGTGAGCAGAAAAGAATCACTAGTTTGCATCTTTCCATTTGCTATCAGCACCTAAAAACAAGGAGCCTTAATAAAAACAGTCAGAGAAACGATTTCCTATTCTCTCTCTTAAACAGACAGATCGTGATGAATACGGTCTAGTGACCCCTCCGTCCCACCAAGTCCAAGACCACTCCAGGAGACAGCCCTCCACAAAGCACAACGGTGAGGGGCATAAAGAGAAGCCACAGGTGTGTTTCCCTGTCACCTTTTCTTAGGTTACTAATGAACTTCAAGAATCTCTTGATTTCTTTGCAATGACTCCAAATTCCCAGAAGAAAAATGCCATTTACAACAAGAATGTGATCACTGTCCCAAGCTTCCACACCATGTCATTTTTTTGTTTTTTCAACCTCAAAACTTGCCAAAGCAAGAACTTTGTCTCCAGAGCCTAAGGAGAAAGACACATAAACGAAAAGGTCACTTCAAATGCATTCACAGTTCTGGGTAAAGAAGCAAAAACCTATCACACACACGTTGAAACAGACCATGAAACTGGCTCCTACTGCTGGTGCACTGCCTGAGCTCCCCCGCTGCCGTCCCAGTGTCCTCCCCCGCACGACCACTCAGCTGCAAGGGCCATCTGCTGGTTACAAACGCTTGCTCTAGCTTCAGGTATGGGACAGATCATGTAAAAGTTTAGTTTATTTTTATATTTATATTTAGATGACAAATACTTTAGAAACATTAGGCCATATTAACTTAATTTTTAATTACAAAGTATTGAGATATAAACTCAATAAAAGGGATTCATGAAGAATAGAATTCTGGTTTTACCTCTACACTCAAGAAAAGGCCCTCATGCTGTCTCACCCACGCTACTGTCCACCGGACAGTCGTTGGCGTCCACGCTTCAGAACACAAGGGCACTCACCAAGGTCCGTGGAGACTCTCTCGAACTGGCTGAGCACGGCACCGGCATTTGCTGCCAAGAAGGCCTCGTCGTCTGCAGTCAGCTGAACAAAACGAAACAGAGTCCAGTGGAGTGGGTTCCAATCTTCACGAGCGGTTCTGGGAACCGCCGTCAGGAGTGTCTCAGGACCACAAACTAGATCACAGGTCAAGAAGTTCTGCCCCAAATATTTACACTTTTTTCCTTCTCTTTCTTTTTAAAAAAGATTTTATTTATTTTTAAAGAGATGGGAAGGGAGAGAGAAAAGAGGGAGAGAAACATCGATTGGTTGCCTCTCGCACACCCCCAACTGAGGACCTGGCCTGCAACCCAGGCATGTGGCCTGACTGGGAATCAAACCAGCAACCTTTTGGTTCTCAGGCTGGCACTCAACCCACCAAGCCACACCACCCAGGGCTACACTTTTCTTTATGCCTAATACTATATTAAATTAAATTAAATGTAGGTACCTTCTCTCCAAGTTTCCTGAGAGCTGTTAGTATCTCTACTTTCTGCTGGGTGTGCAGGTCTCTTGCCAGCTTTCCCACCATGAGATCTCTATCCATCTAAAGTGGGTGAGCACAAAGCATGTGGTATTGCAGTTAAAAACATTCTATACATAAAACCCAGCTTCTCAGATCTACTTCTTTAAAAGAAAAAGATCCTCTAGCTGATTAGTATTATAAAGAACTACAGAAACACTTCAAGGCAAACACAACAGAAATGCTATTACATAGTTCTAATAAATCTTAATCATAACCACTGTCTTAGCTATAAACCCTACTCAGTAGAGTGCAGGAATCAGGAATCTGGCAATAGCTTCCTTGAGAGAGGAGCCACCCTCCAAGAACTCATTTCATCAAACTCAAGTGCGGTCCACCGGCTTGAAGAAGGTAACTGGTATCGGATCTCCTGGAACGGGGGTTAGATGTTACCTTTACCAACAGAAGCACTGACAGTATATATTGTGCACTGATACTATTCTGTGTGCTTTATATACATTCCACATTACACATAATATGTGCCCTACACGTATCACTTCATTTCATCCTCATAACCACCATAAGAGGTAGAAACAATCATTATCCTCTCTTTACAGGTGGGGAAATTGGGGCACAAGAGTTTGATCAAAATAACGTCTCCAAGATCACACCTCTCCACACGGAGCAGGAAGACAAGTCCAGCCGTCTGACCTGAGTCCGTGCCCTCAACCACTATCCTGCTGACTTCCCAGTGGTCCCAAGTAACTACCAATGCTGTGATTAATGTCAAGTCTATATCAGACTTCTTCAAGTGTCAGGTTTACAAAGACACTAGAAAGTCTTAGGTGAGAAAGGCCACACATGCATAAAGCAATGCTTCTAATGAACTCTGGATTGGGTTTCAACTCAGGGCTTCAGAAGTAAGTAATAAAATCTCACAGGTGGAGTTCGGTGGAAGTGGTCATTGGCAATTTAAACTACTGTCTGCTGTTCAACCCTTTAATATTCATTATAAACAATAATTGTTCAAAGGACTAATTTTGACCAATTTTTAAAAAAACAGACTATTTTTTAGAGCAGTTTTAGGTTCACCGGAAATTGAGTGAAAGGTACTGATACTCCCCACGCACAGCCTGCCCCCACTCAGGCACAGCCCCTCCGGTCCGGCCATCCCCCGCCAGCGTGGGTGGCGCACCTGGTGCTGTCGGTGAGCCTACACTGACCCATCCCAGTCACCGGGGTCTGCAGCTGACATGAGGGTTTCCTCATGGTGCTGTTCATTCTCAACTGACCCATTTTTAAACTCCAGAATAATATAATGAGCAAATTCTTGGGCTAAGAAAAAAATATATACAGAGCAACTGGATTAATTTAAAGAAAATTTACCTCTGCTAACCTTGTCCGAAGCTGACCTGGTTGTTTTTTTGCAAACAATCTGATGACCTCGGGAGTTTTGAAGGCCTGGCTGATAGCTGCCTGGATAGCCTGGAAGTACAAGAAGGTGAAAACTAACCAAAATATTCGGACGAATTGGATATTGCAATAACTGACTGATGGGTCTTCTTTGTCTATCAAATACTGTTGCAATTTTAGTTTCATTTGCTATTTCTGTGTGTGTCACTGGAGTCAAACACATACCTAAATAAAGATCTGGAAGCATATGCTGTTTTATCCACAAATAGACACTCATCTAGAAATTAAACCCCCCAAAAGGGTACATTTTCTATCTTATAAAACTTAACAAAAATAATAATAGTAATAATAATAACCACCTGTGTCACCAGTGTACATAAATTATGCTTACCAGTTGCATTCCACTTAGTTCATCTACCAAAGTCATATTTCCAGACATAATTTTCTTCAGTGAATCATTAAATTCACTTAGTTGCTCCAGAGTTTCCTTTTTGGTTTCTTCATACTCATCTGTGTCAAGTTCCTCTCTGAAGCACAGTGAACACAACACAGAAAAAGACAGGGTTCCAAGTGAAATACAGCAATGTTGGTAGTTGTACACTAAGATTTCAAACATTACATATATTTACACAAAATATCTTGGGGGGGAAAGGCTGAAATATCAAAATACTAATGATGGATATATTCAGATATTTAAAATGTGGGCATTTTTCTACAATATGATTACTTTGATAATTAAACATTTTTCTTTTATCAAAAGGAAGCGTCCCTAAACCACACAGGAACTTCCTTCTAAGCGGTCTATAAACCAATGGTAGACTCTTGGGCAAGACACTAAACATAGCCAAGCCCCAGCTCCTTTATCTGTAAACTGAAGATAGCGAGAGTGCCCTCCTTACCGGGTTGCTAGGAGCATTAAACGAAACATGGAAAGTGGTTGGCATGTGGTGGGTACTAGGTAAATAGCTGTTTTATCATTATAGTTAAAAGTAGGTAAAATTTTGTTCACCCTGAAATACAACAGCAGTGTAGTCCTTGCCATCTGAGTCGGAGGCTATTTGTACTCACCAGTCAAAGCGTGCATTAAACATTCACTACAAATAACAACAGCTACCAGTTATCAAGCACCTGCTCTGGGCCAAGCGTTTCGCTGGCACCTTCACCTGCAATGTTTACTAAGGCCAAACAGTCTGCGTCCTTTAAGTTAAGGCTGAAAACACACCAGAAGTTCACGTTGTACCTGCTCAGGTTGATACCGAGCAGGGCAATTTTTAAATACTGAAGACAAGGTAGGTGGTACAATTTCCACTTTACAGACAAGGAAACGGAAACTTAAGGGGGTTAAGTGTTCTGTCCAAGTTCACACTCACCCTGTAGTTAAATGGAAGACCTTCACAGCCCAGCCCGACAACCGACAGCCTGCACTGGGTTTATTTCCCCAGCAGACAAGGCACCGTGAGGAGCACTTCAGGGGAGACCGACACCACGGCTGGGCCTGGACCCTGGGAGTTCGCCATCTAGCTGCAGAGTGGTCACCTGACAGCGCAGCGGCGCGCAATTAGACTGTTACCTGCATTCCTCCAGATCCTGTAATTGCTGCATCAGTCTGTCCAACTGTTCTTCCAGATTCTGCTTCAATTTGCTCGTCTCTGTCTTTCCTCTGGAAGCCATTTTAATCTCTGAGTAGAACAATAAACCCGCATAGAGTATGTATTTGGTTATTTGAAATGATTCAACATACCAGGCAAATTTAACATAAGCTACACTCCTTCTGAGCTACAGGTGTGGGAAAGATAGCTGTGCAAAGAAAACCTCCATTTATATATAAAAGTTTAAACGCATGTAGTAATAACTCCGCACAAAACTGCCTGGCAGTCTCCCTAATTGAATTGAAGAATTAATTAGAAGTGTTCACTAGTGGTTTATCTTACTTCATACAAATTTGATGGATGAAAGTACAGATTTATAAAGAAACAGAACGGTGTGAATACAGATTCATTATAATATTCTTTTTCATTCTTAGCATGTTCCACGATGTAGAACACTCCCATATGATCTTGCCGGTCTTATGTGCATTTGCTAATGCCTGTGAGTGGGAACAACTTTTGATATGAATTGCTTCTTTGGAAATGTGTTCAAGTTTCTACTGGATTAGATTTCTCTCACTGATTTATATAACATGGATATGAAGACTTGGTAATTATGTTGCGAGTATTATCTCGCCTCCTGACTTTAAATTCTACTTAGGTAGTTTTTGTCGCAATAAATTATTTTTAATGGTCAAATCTATGTTCTCGTTAAGTATTCTTAGTCTGGGCCCCATGAAAGCATGGCACAACCACCTCAAGGTTTCAAAATATATATTTTGTATTCTAAAACTCTTATATTTTTCAAACATTTAGCTCTTTAAGCCCCTTTTTTTGTTAATGCTGTGAAGTAAGGGTCTTTCATTTTCTTTCAAGCAGACGGTAAACTGCCCAGCACTGTTTGCTCACCGGTATTCATTTATGCCACCTTCAGTGTGCTTGGTAGTAGGACTCAAGTTTGTTTTATGGATAATACTCTGACCCTGAGGCATCACCCTGCTATTCTAACTATTATTGCTTCAGAGCTGTTATTATACTGATAACTGTTCAGAAGTTACTTTTATTGCTGTGGGTTTTCCACCTAATAATTCTTGACTATTTGTGTGCGTTTTCTCTTCTAGCTGAATTTAAGAATCAGTTTGTCCAGTTTCCTTAAAAATTCAATTGAAATTTTGACGGGGATTACACTGAAATTAAAGACTAAAAAAGAGAAAACATGTATCCTTGAAATTTGAATCTTCCTATCAAGCAATATCTCTCCATTTATCTAGGCTTTCTTTTATGACTTTTAAAAAGAAAATAGTATTTGTTCACAAAGGCCTTAAACACTGGGGAGTCTTAGATTTTGTATATTTTGTTAATATTAGGAATAGGGTTTCGTTATTACAATTTCTGATTATTGTTGGTGTAGAGAAAAGCTACTGATTTTGGTGTTGATATTATATGTATTTACCTTAACATTTAAGTTTTTCTATTTATAAAAATTAAACTTACATTCCTTTCAGGAAACACACTATGGTTAGTGTTAGGTATAATCATTCATCAAAACCTCTACAATTGCCCTGACCAGCGCTGCTCAGTTGGTTGGGCATCGTCTCGCAAAGGGAAAGGTCACCGGTTTGATTCCCAGTCAGGGCACGTGCCTGGGTTGTTGGCCAGGTTTAAATCATCTACAATCATTAATAACGTATAAATGCATAATGAATGAGTATAGCCAGAAGTGTTAATTTATTATAGCTATTCTCCCTGTATAAGTTCTCCCAGAAATACACGTTTAAATTTTATTTTAAATCTGTTGAATTTTCCAGTAAAATTCAAGGCAAACCCAAGGTGAAACGGGAAGTGTCTTTCCAGGATTAATTTGCTATAGTTTAACCACACTGGACTCCTTATTTCACAATATGCCATGACCTTTCATCCCTCTCCTGGGAGCCTTCCTTCTTTCCACCTATCAAGCCTAGCTCTTTCCTTCTCCAGGGGCTAGCTCAAGTTTCACTTTCTCCATACTGTGTTCCTTGGCCTCCCTGCCCAATCCCTAGACTGTGAGTTATCTGAGAGCAAGGATTCTGCTTTCTCTTTATACACCAGCATTTAGCACAATGCTGGGCAGGTATAAAGTACTGGGTAAATAACCGGTAAATTAATAATAAGAAGAGACTGCTTCTTTCGCTGTGTTCCACATTTTATTCTCTACTTACCACTTATTTCTTCCTTGAATTATATGAGTTCATTATAGCACGTCCCCCGCCCCACCCCGCCCCGTGTCTTCCTCTCCAGACTGTAAACACTCTTAAAGCAGGAAATGAGTCTGATTCCATATTCGAAACCAGGTGAAGTGCATGAAGACACAACACATTTTAAGAAGGCGAAGCTACTCTAAACAAATTTCAGGGAGGATGGAGGCACTTAAAAAGCCTTAACCTGGCGCTGCATTGCGATTTATCCCAAAAGATGAGCTCGCTGGCACCACCTAGTATTCAATAAAAGCGGTGCATCTTCTTACGGAAACTGCAGAAACGGTTCTCGAAAACTGCCCCCTGGAGTGGCAACGACTCGTTCACGCTCACCTGTCTCTTACTGCTCTGAACGCTGCACAGTGCTGGCAGGTCTCAAACTGCGTAAACCTCTAATTCTTGAAGTTCCGGTGTCCTGCGTTCGAGAAAAGCAAAACTGTTCATCAGGACCACAAGGGCCCGAAAGTTCAAATCACCTCGGTGTGGAGGCGGATGGGAAAAGAAAACCCATTCACAAGGACTTTTTCTTTACTATGCACAAGCTTGGCCTAGAGCTGTCCAGATAACTTGCACTCGAGCAGCCAGCAACTGAAACACACACCCCTCTCTTTCTAGGAAGGCACCACGGGGGCGGAGAGTGGGGATGAAGGGGGCAGCCTTTCTGAGATTTTTTTTTCCAGCGAGGGCGAGGGTGTTACCCAAGAAAACCCCGCGCCCGGAACACGCCTTGGAGGGAAGCTGTCAAATCCAGATGGGCACCGAAAAGGTAAGGGCGGAGGGCACGCCTTCTCCCGTTTCCCGGCGGGAAGTGAGCAGCGTTCGGACCCCAACCATCCCCGCGGCTGTCAGGGAGCCGCTCCGGCCGCGGCCCCAAATCCTATCTCCGCCCGGCAGGCAACTTGAAGCTCCCGCACTCGGGTCGCGCGGCGGCCGAGCTCCGCTAGGCCTGGGTTGCCGCCAGAGGTCGCCGTGGACCCGCCGCCCCCCGAAACTTCTCCGGCCCTCTCCCACTAGAACCCGAACCACGTCCTCAGGATTCGGGGTTCCCTCCCAACCTCAGCCCGCTAATCCCCAGCGTTCCCAGGCAGGGGCCCCGCCTACCTGAGGGTCCCGGGCAGGCGGACGCGCGCAGAAGGAGCGCTTCCGTCGGACGCACGCACTTCCGGCCTCCCGGAGCCAATGGGGGTGTGGCCGTGGGTGTTCCCCTCGCGGGCGTCCGGGCTGCGGATCGCCTCTCGGACGACTCGGGCCGATTTGCGCTGAGGACGCGGTAAGTGCCGACCCTCAGCCCCAGAGAAACCGCTGTCTAGGAGAGTCGGCCCAGATTCCCTTTTTGTCGCGAGCGCGGGGGACTCCAGGGGAGTGGGGTCTTGGAGGGTCGAATACAACGGTTGCCGAGGCAAGATCTTATTCAAGTTTGGGGCGAGGAGTCTTGCTTGTCCCTTCATTATTTGCATCTGTCTGGAACCAAAAACCTCGGTATATTTGCCTGTGGCCTTTGGAACTGGCGGATTCACCCTGAAAGTAATAATAGTAATACGGATAAAGTTCCTCTAGAAGAGGCTTCTTGGTAGGGGGAGGTGGAGCGGGAAGTCCTCCGTTCTTAACTTCTCTTTTCTCCGAATTCCCCAAATCTGTAAAATACCAGACCCGCCTTCCCAGAAGCGGCTTGACACTCCCCCCGTTTGAGAAGGAGACTGCTAGCTGTTGGGCAACACTTTAAAAATTACTCAGAAAGTAAACGGCTGGAAACCGTTTTTCGGGTGTTACCAGCCCATCTCCATGAAGAGACAGTAGCGTTTCCTACAAGATTGTTTGCGGTGTAGGCTTTAAAAGTGATTCCTTTTCCCAGCGCCCAGAACAAACTTCCAGCTGAAATTACCATAGAACTCTACCCGAGTGACTCACTTCTGTCCGTTCTGTCTCATGGTAGAATTCCTTGCGTATTACCATAAACTGTTTTCAGAGTTACAGTTTCAATGTGAAACCACTGTTCTAGGCCAACCGAGAAAAGACCGTGGATGGGGATGTAACCTACAGCGCAGGCAGTCGAGTCAATAATATCATAATAACTGTGTGTGGTGCCAGGTGGTTACTGGACTTATTGGGGGGGGTCATTTCATAAATTATTTATTAAATGTCTAAGCACTATGCTGTACACCTGAGACTAATATAATACTGAATGTTGACTGTAACTGGGGAAAAAAATGTGGATTTAGGGAAGCAAAAGTGTTGATCCACAGGTTGGAATAGTTTAATAGCCTACCTTGCAAAAATGCCTCAAATTCACAGGATATCTTTTGTAAAAGGGAGTGATGGTTATGTTACTGTAATTAGCTCTAATTTCTGGTCAATCTGTGTGGAAGTGTCTGTGTTTTGAGCGATACGGAACTCTCCGTGACAAAATAGGGTCAGTGCCAAACAAAACAACACTGAAAAATCCATTTTCTTCTTCCATCGTTTGAAGAACTTGCTGAGTAAACACTGGCTCACACTGTACTTCCCTAGTTTCGATGGTGGTGACACGAGGTTCTGGTCTGGCGTCTGTGTTGGTTTTGGTGTGTGCCGCCGTGAGGCCGTGTTGGAAACTCCTCCCGTACGTGCGTGGATTTGCCGGCTCTGCTTTCTCAGTCACTTCATCTGATCCTGCAGTTCTGGGCTGGGAGTGTTCTCCAACCTTTGGGCTCTCGTTTAGAGTTCACGCACAATAAAAATGTATTCCTAGTGCATCAGTAAGCGAAATTGGTCTGGGTTCCTGTTCGCAAACAAAAATAGAATCCAAGCCCTGGGGGTGGGGGAGAGGAAATCAAAAGAAAAAGAGGAACGCTGTATTGGGCAGGCAGTTGTGGGAGAGAACGTGGGGGTGAATCACTTCAGAACTGGGGGTCGTACCCGGGAAACGAGATACAGGCGCCCCTCAGACACTGCAGCTCGGTTGCAGACCGCTGTGATGAAGGGAGTATCACAATAAGGGGAGTCATATTCTTCTTCCTGGTGGAGGGGCTGGCCTCAAAAACAAAACATGCCCCTGGCTGGCGTAGCTCAGTGGATTGAGCACGGGCTGCGAACCAAAGTGTTGCAGGTTCGATTCCCAGTCAGGGTACATGCCTGAGTTGCAGGCCATGGCCTCCAGCAACCACACATTGATGTTTCTCTCTCTCTCCCTCCCTTCCCTCTCTAAAACAAACAAACAAACAAATAAATAAAATAAATAAAATCTTTAAAAAAACACATGCAACACCCATGAAGCACAATAAGATGAGGTATGCCTGTAAACAGTACTGGACAGGTGGGGGAGTTTAGAACACTTCACCTTGGACTTGGGATGGGAGCCTAGAGAGTGCGAGTTCCTCCAACTAGTAGGGAGATGCCTGGGCAGACAACACTTGAGTGACTAGCAAGAGGTACCCTGAGCCGAAGGCTGTCTGGACACGTGGGCCTCAGTCTGTAGCGCTGTGACCGTGGTGTAACAGTGAAGAGCGTGAACTTTACATTGGAGTCAAGGTTGTTGAAGGGCTGTGAGATCTGGAGCAAGTTAATCAACCTCTTGCAGCATCAGTTTCCTCCGGCCTCGGGTAAAAGGGATGACAGTAGCACTGTGTACTGTGGATGAGAAAGGTGCCCCTACGGAACCCAGCCAGCTCAGGGGGCGGCCAGCACAGCAGGTCCTACTACCTCCGAGACTGAAAGTAACACCGGACGGTCTGAACATAAAATCCCTAACTAAAAGCAGATCCTGCTGGGCAGTCACATGCTTGACAAAGGTCAGTCTTTACCTGAAGTGAGCTCACCTACTGTCTTTGCTGCATCTAAGGTAACATACCTTTGAAATGTCAGAGTCATCTCCTTTTCCAGACCCAAGACCATAGAACCCCTCATTGTTTTCTTGTTCCCCAAATACCATCTCTGTGTGCTGTACATGTTCATTGTTAACTGTCCTGTGCCCACTAATATCACTAATATAAAAGAAGTATGTGTCTCTCTGTTTTACTCTTTATTCAATCTCAGAAATTTCCCTGCTGTGCTTTCCCCCGCCTTCCTGATCTACTACCAATGAATGTCATGTAACCACGCCCCCTTGTGTCCACTGCTTGGATTCTAATGTATAAAATAAGCTGTAAAATTGCCGTCCTCCAGAGCATTTTTCAGTCCATTGAGATTTTGCTTCTTGACAACTGTTCTCAGTATGACTTAAATAAACTCATAAAAGTTCTCTGCAGTGTGGGTGTTTTTTGCATTGACTGTACCCACTTTGTTGGAGTCTTCTAAGGATTACATGAATGTTTAGCATACCGCTTGGCACACAGGAAGAACTCAACAAACGTTACCACCATCATCATCATAGTTAGACAAGCATGATTGTACGTATTTATAAGGAACAGGCCCAGCCAAGGAGAAGGAGCGAATGTATTGCCACTCAGGGAGAAGCCCGTGAGGTAAAATGTGGATTCTACGAGCAGGAACCCTGCGGCTTTCTGCCCCTCTGCCGTCGATGTCCCAGCCCCAGGCAGCCGCTGACCTGCCCTCTGTCACTGTAGATTAAATTTTCTGTTCTAGAATTACATACAACTGAATCATACAGTGTGTACTGTTTTGTATGTTGCTCCTTTCACTCAAAACAAAACGAAACAGATTCTTCCATGTTATTTGTATCAGTAGTTCCTTTTTATAGCTGGATAGTATTTCATTATATGGCTATACCAGCTTTGCTTATTCATTCATTCATTCATCTCCTGATTCACATTTGAGTTGTTTCCAGTTTTTGGCTATTATGTATCAGGCCAAACCATGCAATTCCTTGCGTGGATATACGTTTCATTTTCCCCATTATTGTTATGCTAGCCTCTGAATTTGTACCCAGAATCCTTCTCTATGGCTTCCTTAAGGACCTTCCTCCATCTTCGCTTTCTTGCAGCTTCTGTTGCTTCCCAATAGTGCTTTCCCCTTAACCTACCAACCATTCTAATTCTATTCTTAAAAAAAAAAAAAATCAAATCGAATCAAACAAACAACCCTCTCTTAACCATGGCACCCTGTTGAAGAGAGTGTTCAGTGTCTCTGGGTTTTACTCCCAGGTTCTTGTCTCTCCATCCCACCTGCCTACTCGTCTCTGCTTGATGCCTGTGCGCACCGCTGACTCAACCCCTGTAAGACGGCAGTCTGCTTCTTCATGCCTCCCCCCCACCCCCCCGTGTCCCCAGCCTGCACTTCCCCCGACACGCTCTCTGCTGCCTGGTAGCACAGGTCTACCCGGTCACTTGAGTCAGAAATGTGCCCCCTCACCCTCCCCTCCTCCATCCAGTCCCCTGATCCGCTTGTAAACCCTCGAACCATCCCTCCTGTTACTTCCCTTCCTTGTCTCTCATCTGGACTGGTGGAGCGCTCCAAAGCAGTGCTGTGCAAACTCTAAGATGCCCACAGATCACCTGGGGATCTTGTGAAGATGCAGGCCTTGACTCAGTAGGTTAAGGGTAGGGCCTGTGACTCGGCATTTCTAACCAGTTCCCAGGTGATACCCATGCTGCTGGTCCATTCAGTCTTCGCGCTCTCTCTCTCTTGATAAGGTCATCCCGTCTCGTGACTTTAAATACCGGCCATAGCAGATGACCTCAACTCTCTAGTAAATCTCTAGTCTGGGCCTCTTCCCTGAACTTGGCTCTGTTCTCCATTTGTCCACTTAACATCACCCTTAGGGTACTTCACAGACATCCCAGATCCAACTTCTCTGTAAACAGAAGTGCTGATCTTCCCTGAACGACTCCAGGGCCACTTCGTCTTCTCAGAGATAACTCTGTTCTTCTAGTTGCTTAAGGCAGAAAAACGTGGAGTCATCCTTGACGCCTGCTCTCTCACAGCTTGTGTCCCATGTACCAATCAGCAGATCACACGGGCTCTCCCATTGCAGTGTATCTGGAGTCCCGTGATTCCTCACCACTGCTGCTGCCACGGCCCTGGTCCAGGTCAGCACCGACTCTGTCCCGGCTGATTGGAGTAGCTTCCTGTCTGGTCTCCTTGCCTCGCCCTTAACTCCCCCTATGTTCTGTCCTCAGAGAAATCTTTGAAGGTACGTCAGGTCCCGTCGTTCCTCTGCTCAGAACCCCGCCCTGGCTTCCCACTGCCTCTCCGACTGCATCCGCCGCCGCCCCTTCCCTCTGT